CACAGCCCCATCTCCCCACACACAGCCCCATCTCCCCGCACAGCCCCATCTCCCCACACACAGCCCCATCTCCCCGCACACAGCCCCATCTCCCCCCGCAGCCCCATCTCCCCCCGCAGCCGCGCTCACCCCAGGCGCCGGGCAGGGCCAGCAGCATCACCAAGAGCCAGCGCGGAGCCATGGCCGCGGCCGCTCCCGGTGTCGCTCCCGGTGCCGGTACCGGCTCCGCGCAGCGCCGCGCAGTGCAAAGCGCGTCCTTTTCCGGGGCGGGCGACACCCAGGCCAGCCCCGGACTCTCGTCACCGCTCAAGCGCGACGGGTTGGATATTTTTTTTTTTGGTTTGCAGCTCTCAAGAGCAACGCAGGTTTTTCCCTTCACCGAGCCCCACGGGGCTGCCTGGCAGCTCCCCCCGCGGCGATTCCCACGGCGCGGTGGCTGTCTCCTTTATCGGTACAAACTGATGCTGCTTGATAGCCCAGAAACAGCCGAAGGCAGGCGGGTGGCGCGGGGGTCCCTCTTTCCCCGATGGCCTCTCCTGGCCCACTCCGGGCCCTTCGCCCCGGCCGGGGCGGTGGTAGGGGATCACCGGGGCGGTGCGTGGCCCCGCTCGACGCTGCGCTCCGCAGGTGTGGGAGTGTCGCCTGGGCGAGGAGGGATCCTTGTTCTTGGTCGGTTCACACCTTGTCACCCTCAGCTCCAGGATGCTCAAGGCCACCCCAGGCTCTCCCCTGAAGAGCGCAGGGCCTGCTGCCCCACCCGCGTTGCACCGCGTAGACATCGCCTACATCTTCAGTTTATTGCGCCTCTCCCTCTGCGTCAGCTGGGTGAGGCCCGGGGCTCGGGCCGGGCACCGCTTGGCACCCCGGCACAGCCCTGCTGCCGCCCACCCCACGGTGGAAGGGATGATCAAAGGGACACAGCAGCCAGGGCACGGGGCAGCTCAGGCGCTCGCATGGCCGTTGCTTCTCCCCCTCCTCAAACCGGTATCAGGATTGTACCCACCAGTACAAGCCCACAGAAATGGGCTGCGTCCCAGTCAGGTAACAAGGACAGCAGCCGGTGACTGCGTGACACCTTTCTGTCCGACCAGCAGCACTGCCTGTCTCCTGACAGAACACCAATAAACTCAGTCTCTTGGCAAACACTAATAAATCAGAGACTCAAAGAATGGTTTGTGTTGGAAGAAATCTTAAAGATCACCCAGTGCCACCCCCTGCCCCGGGCAGGGCCACCTTCCCCCAGCCCAGGTTGCCCAAAGCCCCGTCCAACCTGGCCTTGAACCCTTTTAGGGAGGGGGCAGCCCCAGCTTCTCTGGGCAGCCTGTGCCAGGGCCTCACCCCCTCACAGGGGAGAATTTCTGCCTTAGATCTCATCTAAATCTCCCCTCTGTCAGTTTAAACCTGTTACCCCTCATCCTATCCCTCCCCCCCGATGATGAGTGTGTCCCCCCCTTTCCCGCAGCCCCTTTCAGCCCTGTGAGGCCGCTCTAAGGTCTCCCCGCAGCCTTCTCTCCTCCAGCTGAACCCCCCAACTCTCTCAGCCTGTCAGCAGAAAGGCAATTTTTACAACTTCTGTATTATCACTGTTCATTTTGTCCCCATGTCAAAGCCAAACGAGGAGTACAAGCCAGCGAACACCAAGCAGGGAGCAGCTAGTTTAACCCACTGAACTCCTTGCTGGAGCTGCAGCCTGGCTTTTGGCTAAAGAATCCGACCAGTGCAGGAAAAGTCAGGGTGGGCTGAGGGCAGGTTGTACCTGGAGAGGAGCGCACACCTTCCCCCAGCCTCCTGGTGCTGCCAGGGAGGGGACAGGTTCTGCTCCGGCACCTCGCCTCCGTCATCGCAATTCCCAGGAAAGGCCACTGCTACGGGCAACAATTATCCGAGCAGCAGCAATTATCTGAGCACCTAATTACTTCCGGCAAAGAATGAGACTGCAGAATCATTTAAAGTGCTCTGTGAGAAGGTTTGAGTAGTAAACATGAAAAAAAACACAAAAAAAAACCCCAAAAAACCAAGCCCCAAGCCAGGATAGCAGTACTGCTCATTTTATATTCCTTATTTACAAAACAGTTTTACTATAAATACTGCGATTTGCTCACTCGTGTCTGCACACTAGTAAAGGAATATCTGTTAAAAAAGTAGTTTAAAAAATACAAATAAATCTTGCAAGATTGTGCAAAGAGGGCGTTTACTATGAAATTATTTTCCTAGTGGAAAGAAACGTTTATTGAATTTTTAAAGCCTTGCTTTAAGAGCCGCAAAAATAGTTTTTTCCTACTAAAGTAAACAAAAAAGTAGGGCATTAAACCAACACGGAGCTGGCTTTGAAATGTGTTTGATTCTCCTGCTTCTTTACAAATAAATTCTTGATTGTGAAGTCAGACCCCTGACTTGAGGTTGCCTTATTGCACTCAGACCTTCAGCCCTGCCAACGTCAGGAGCTGGTGTCGCACCTCTCCCTTCTCTCCCACCAGCTCCGTGCCGCTAAGGGTGCTGCAGCCACCAGCGTTTATCCTGCAGCGGGGAAACGAGGGGTTCATAGGGCTGGCGGCTGGTGCTGCAGCCCCCGCGCTCTGGCAGAGGGACCTCGGCAGCAATGTGGCACCGTGGCCCCAGCCACGGGGACCCGGAGGGCGTTTCTGGGTCCTTACCGTGGGGCACCTGGCAGAGGTGCGCGTGGCTGGGCGTCCCGCAGACGGCGCAGACGTGACAGCCGGGGGTGCGGGGGGACACGAGGTGGGCCGGGGTCCCCTCTGTGGCCAGCGGACACACGGGGCAGCTGGTCACGTCACGGTGGACGAGGGAGAGGTGCAGCCGGTCGGCGCAGGGCTGGCAGATGGGACCCCGTGGGCTGTGGAGAGAGAGCCAAGGGTGAGCCCTGACGGGCTCAGGTTGGAAACTGCTCCTCGCCAAGCCACCCCACACAGGCTCCGGCACCACAAAACCTTTTTTCATTAACAGTTTCAAAAATAGTTAACTTTTTAAACTCAAACGAGTAGTGAATGCAGAACTGAAACTGTGCCAGGGTTAGGGCTAACAGCAAGTGGAACAAGCACTTGCAGGAACAGCATGAAAGAAACAATTGGCAAAAAGAAGTTCGTACTTACAAAAGCTAAAGCAGGCGGATGCACACCTCAAACCACATTTATTTTAACCACGTATTTATTTGAATTTGCCTCTATGAAGGCAGCTTTGTGAGCCTGAGAGAGCACAAGACTCTGCATGGGCAAAATAACCTTTGCTCACCTCATCGCTGCTCTGCCCCAAACAAACTAACGACGCCTTGAGGTGGAAAAAGCACTCAGCAGCTCAGTGAGCACAAGGCCCATGGGGCTCTCATAGCACTTTTTGCTGCTTAACCAAACAGAGCTCCATCCTGGGCCAAAGACAACACGAGGCCGAGCCAAGTGAGGACAGCTGAGGAGCACAAGCTGATTCCAAGACACCCAAATAAACCGGGCAAGTGTTGTTCAAATAAACCTCACACCAGTTTCCCCTCTCTTGGCTCACAAGCAGGCACCAGCTTTTATCCTGACAGAGCTATAAGGAAACACAACCAATGGTTATGCACATCCATCTTTTTTTTTTTAAGCTAAGCGGTTAACTCCTCTCAGGTTTGAGGCCGCTGAGAGAACCTCCTGCACCCACGGTGGGACACTCACCCCTCGTCCTGCTGGTGGGGCCCCCCCGGCCGCCCCCCGGATCGGGTCCCGCTCGGGTGACAGTGGGCGCGCAGCCAGCTCTCACACACGGGACAGGTGTGGTCGTCGCTGTGAAGAAGCACCGCTGAGGATGTGCGTCGAGTCTCTCTAAGGAGACTCAAAAATCACCGTCAAGTTTGGCACCTCCAGCCTCCCTGGCACTGAGGAACCCTCCCAAGTAGGATGAAAACCTGGGATTAGCTCTACCGCAAACCTGCCTCGCTTTGCTAAGATGCAGGAGATGTTTGTCTGCGGGTGTGCAGAGGCTCCCTGCAGTGTATGGCCCGAGAGCAACACGAGTAAAGAACCAGGAGAAACACCAGCACGTGCTGAATGCCTTTTAAAAGCACAGAAAGAACAAGGCACAAAAATTGCCCAGAGCTCCTTTGTTTTAAGGGAAAAAAACAGTGATTAGTGCTTCAAAAGTAATTAAATGCTGTAATACTCAGCATAGGTTCAAGACAGGAAAGAGGGGGGAACAAATAAGGAGGTGTGGAATACCCTTATTTTCTACTTGAATAAATACGGTTCTACCCTACTCTGAAATTATTTTTATTCAAGCATCTGTGTATTTTAAGTGGAAGACAGACCTCGCGTGGCCCACGGGCTGCTCTGCCTCGCGCCGCTCTGGAACAGCTTCTCGTGTGCCGTCACCCCTCAGCTCATCGGCAGCGTTGGCAGGAGAGCTGATCTCAGAGAAAGGGAGAGAAGACGATCTGAATCCACCCGAAGGCACAGCCTTCTGAGAATGGCTACTTTATTCTAAGGAGAAAACACTTTCTACTCCTAAAACTGGACTTAAAGGAATCCAAACTGCAAAACCTGCTATATCCATGTGTAGATGCTTACACACACACACACACACACACACACACACACACACACACACACACACACACACACACACACACACACACACACACACACACACACACACACACACACACACACACACACACACACACACACACACACACACACACACACACACACACACACACACACACACACACACACACACACACACACACACACACACACACACACACACACACACACACACACACACACACACACACACACACACACACACACACACACACACACACACACACACACACACACACACACACACACACACACACACACACACACACACACACACACACACACACACACACACACACACACACACACACACACACACACACACACACACACACACACACACACACACACACACACACACACACACACACACACACACACACACACACACACACACACACACACACACACACACACACACACACACACACACACACACACACACACACACACACACACACACACACACACACACACACACACACACACACACACACACACACACACACACACACACACACACACACACACACACACACACACACACACACACACACA